AAGAAGATCGATTAATCAAATTATGGGTTCGGAAAGGATAGCAAACCGACTATCTTCTAGAAGGTTTAGCAAAAAAAGAACCAAAGTCCCTTGTTATTGTGACAAATGTAATGGAAAACTGGTTATAACACGAACCAAAATGCTTCACGAAGCGGTAGAAAACACAACTGACTCGAATCTTAATAGTGGTTTGGCTTTATTGTTACTAATTAATCAAGAAGAGGATTCGACAATAACTTCGTTAGAAGAAAATCCGATAAATGAAGATATTTTGGTACCTCCATTAAATGAAGAGATTTTGGTAATAACTCCTTTAGAAGAAGATTTGACAACAATTCCATTAAATGAAAAAGATAATTCTACAACTCCAGAATACAACGAAAATGAATATATTTTTTACCTCGAAGACGTACAAGAAGCTACGCAAATCGCCCACAAATTATGCTCGAACATTCAGGAACAGAAGATTTGAGCAATTCTGATTATGAACAATATACTGATACTTCTTCTTCTGATGGCAATGAGTCAGATGATGAAACTTTTGCCGATACTTTTGAAAATTATTCACCACCAGATTTTAAATCATATCAAGAGGAAGAAAAAATGACAATCGATGATAAATTTTTATGGATTTTATTGTGGATAATGACCTTTCGAAAAAGTTCAATCTCCCTGAAACAGCGACCGAATCTCAACTAAAATTCATGAAAATAGTGTTAAAAGAAATCGGTGGAGACATTTATGATAGCTTTCCTGACTCTCTATATCTGGCAAGAATTCAACTTGGCCTGAAAGATCATTTCCATAGTTTCGTGTCATGTCTGAAATGTCATAAATTATATAATAAGACAGACATAGACGAAATTCAAAAAAATGACAGTATCGGTATCATAAGATGCAGTCACGTCGAATTTCCAAATTCTGCGTCTCGAAGGACGAAATCGTGTCAAACGGTCTTGGCTGAGAGAGAGGTTAAAAAGCCAGAATTAATATATCCGTTTGTACTGATTCATCAACAATTGGAAACTCTATATCGTCAGCCTCACTTTGAACGGTTACTTCAACATTGGTCAAATCGTTGACAATTCGATAACATACTGACCGATATATATGACGGTCAAATCTGGAAAACATTAAGAGAAACTGACGATGAAAATTCAGCCAAATTTTTCTGACCAGAAGTAGCCGATTCACATCTAGGACTAATGATAAACCTTGATTGGTTCCAGCCCTACGATGGTACATTTTATAGTATTGGGGTAATTTACGCGGCTGTCTGTAATTTACCCCATGACATTCGGTTCAAGCGCGAAAATTTGCTGGTTCTCGGTCTACTACCAGGACCGAACGAAGTAAGCTTGCACAAGATTAATCATTATATTGCGCCTATTGTCAATGAATTAGAGTTACTATGGAGTGGAATAACTTTAAATCGAACATTTGAGTGCCAAAACGGGAAAAATATTCGTGCGGCTTTAGTACTAATTTCGTGCGATATCCCTGCTGCTCGAAAAATATGCGGGCATATTTCAGCTTTGGTTTCTTGCCATCGGTGTATGAAACGAGCAAATTATGAAGACCACCAACATAATTTTGCAGGTATGGAGGATATGGAGAATTGGTTCATTACTCGTGATTCGACCGAACATCGTCGGAATGCTCTTGCATGGCGAAGTTGCAATTCCACCAATTCAAGAAAGAATTTCGTTAGTGAAAAAGGGGTTAGGTGGTCGGAGTTACTTCGATTGCCGTACTTTGACCCAATTCGTTTTATTATTGTAGATCCAATGCACTGCTTATTCTTAGGAATTGCGAGGTGGATAATGAAGAGGATTTGGATTGACGAATGTGTTTTAACCCTGAACGATCTAAAGCAGATTCAAGAAAAAATGAATCAATTCAAAATACCGGCTGATTTAGGACAAATTCCCGGGAATATTGAGCGCGGAAAAGGGTTTCGAACTATACAGCTGATCAGTGGCGAATTTTCTTTATGATCTACGCAACTACCTCATTGTGGGAACATTTACCGTCAAAAGATCAAAAAATCTTGACACATTTCGTTAGAGTTTGTTCTATTTTAGTAAGCCGAATTTTAGAAATTGAATTAATGGAAGAAGCTCATGAGAGGCTAATTAAAATAATTAAGCTTATTGAAGTACACTATTGAAGATTAAAAATTATGCCTAATCTTCACCTTTCGCTCCATTTGTGCGATTGTTCGAATGATTTTTGTCTATTGTATGCATTTTGGTGTTTTTCATTTGAGCGTATGAATGGAATACTCTGTAAGATATTCTTTTTTTTACTTTTTTTACTTTATTCGGATGTTTACATTGTTAGTCTTATTTTTAATAATTTTTAAGGCTCGTTGCCAACAAGTAATAGACAAATTGAACCGAAAATAATGTGTCGGATAATGAATGATAATCGAATTGGAAATCTCATTAGTTCTGACATTCAAACGAAAGGCTTAGAATTGCTTGAAGATCGACTCACAACTGGTTCAATATCGGCTGCAGACCAATTTTCTTCAGATGAACTAGAGCGGTTTTGGCTAAATGCTAAAAACATACAGGAATCGACTATTACTGGATGCGAGCCGTTTCCTGGAGAAATGCTGAAGCTTAGTTCTGAAGCAATAATGACCGAATCAATGCTCGAACTGATGGTTGCTTTTTATAATGCTTCTTATATCGAAATGTATAAGTTTCGCAAACCAGCAGATGAAATTATCCAAGATTCTATAACAATTCGAGTAAAGATAAATCAATTTGGAAGATGCCGAATTGGTTCCAAAGTATTTGGCTCCGCAATGTCAGTTCGACATACAAAAAGCTCGTGTGTCCTAGCCAAATTTATAACTAGTGATGAGGAAGTCGACAGTTATCCTTAGTGTTCTGAATGGGTCAGGTCAATTCGGGTGACCCGTCGGGTTGACCCGAAAATTTCGGGTCGGGTCATCAAATTTATGACCTGACCTCAGATCAGGTTACAGTTTGACCTGACCCGTTGACCCATTTGACCCGACATAATATTTCTGGTCAGATGGGTCAAATATGTAAAAAAAAATGCCGAAACGTTTTTTTTTTTGTATTATTATTAAGAAAAAACGTTTCAGTGTTTTTTCATATAAAAAAAAACGCCGAAACGTTTTTTTTTATATTAATTATTATAGAAATAACGTTTCGGCATTTTTTCATATAAAATTATTAGAAAAAAAACGCTGAAACGTTTTTTTTTGTATTAATTATTATAGAAAAAACGTTTCGGCGTTTTTTCATATAAAATTATTAGAAAAAAAACACCGAACTATTTTTTTTTGTATTAATTATTATAGAAAAAACGTTTCAGCATTTTTCATATAAAATTATTAAAAAAAAACGCTGAAACGTTTTTATTTGCATTATTATTAAGAAAAAACGTTTCGGCGTTTTTTCATATAAAATTTAAAAAAAAAATGCTGAAACGTTTTTTTTTATATTACTTATTAAGAAAAAACGTTTCGGCGTTTTTTCATGTAAATTATATTTAAAAAAAACGCTAAAAACGTTTTTTTTTTTGTATTAGTTGTTAAGAAAAAACGTTTCGGNAAATCC